TACGGTTTCGGGTGCGTTCCCCTCGTCTCTTCTCTTCGTCTCCTCTCCTCGCTGACTCGCTCTTTCCTCGCCCCGACAGCCAGTAGACGCTTCGCTCCCACACCTCGCTCTCCCCTTCGTCTTTCCCGGTCGTTCGTGTTGTTTGCAGTAGTCCATTTCGCATCCACTTCGCTTGCAAAGCCTCGTCGCTTGCCCTCCCTTCCGTGCTGGTCCGGCGTTCTTGAGCCGCGCGAGAGTCTCCAGTGAAAGCCGTGCTGAGCGAGCATGAAAGCAAACTCGCCTCGCCTTCCCACGCGAACTCGAATGCATCGTTTACAGGCAGGGGAACAAGCTAATCTACAACCAACGGCGTAAGACGTAAGACGACTTAACGGCACACGACATGGGAGACGACAAGAGAGAGAGGCGAGCAGGCTACCGGACCTTCATGAACGAGAACAGCGACTCCATCGAGACCCACCGTCGGCCGTTCTTCTCGAGGTGCTTCGTGACGACCTTGCGACCTTACGTAGCTGCTCGAGGACGTGGCGCCTCACGAAAGGCCAGGCGCGAAGCGGAAGCGGAGGAGAATGAGGAGGAGAGTGAGGAGGACAGGCAGGAAAAGGCGAGTGTCGCTGCGTCCCGCCTGCTTTCTTGTCGAGCGTGCTCTCCATTCTCAGCCGCATCGCAGCTGTGAGCGAAGCAGAGAAATAAAGCTAAGCGAAGCCGTGAGGGAGTTGGTCGGAGCCTGAGAAGGTGGGCAATTCGCACGGCCTCAAACAGAGACGACCACCATCCATCCAGGTGAACGTCCTCGTTCCATACAACCAACCTTACAGTTTCGAGCGAGACTCTCCCGCACCCACAGCCCCGGCCTTGACGAGCTTCTCGACCTTCGCGCCGAGTCCCGCCGCTTGCAGAATCTCCACTGTATCCCTCCCCGGCTCAAGGAACGCCTCTTCCGCCTCTCCCGCCCTCGCAGGCGTCCTGCTCAGTCTCGGCGTAGGCGTCGGCAAGCCTCCACCATCCTCAGCCTCCTCCTCACCCAACTGACGATCCGGTTCATCCGGTCCTCGACCCTCGGAATCCACCTCCTGGCGATTCAAGACGGGCACGCAGCATGCGTCGGTGCCGAGGAAGATGCGAGACCATTCGTCGCGGGTTTTGGTGCGGAAGCCGGCGGTGAAGAAGGAGACCAGTGAGGGCCAGGTGGAGCGGTCGAGCTGGGTGGACGCGGTCGGGTGGGGAGAGGGAAGGAGGGAAGGAGGGACGTTCTTGATGAGAATGTCGCTGCGACAGACGGCGCAATGTCAGCAGGCGAGTGAGGAGACGAGGGAAGCGGTACGCACAGGAATTCGGCGTAGAAGTGATTCTCGATCGGTCCGAGGCTCATGTACTGCCCGTCCTTGCACTCGTACACGTCGTACCACGGCGCTCCGCCATCGAGAATGTTCTCGCCGCGAGGTTCGGACCACATGGGCAGACCGAGACTTGGGCGGGCCATTGTCAAGGGGAAGATGGAAGCGTAGCGAGTGCCGGTGACCTGCCGAAATGCGTCAGTACTGCGAAGACGCAGATAGGGCAGAATAGAATGCACCATGTCAATCTCGACGATCTGGCCCTTGCCGCTCTTCGTGCGCTCGATGAGCGCCGCCAGAATGCCCAAGACGGCCATCATTCCGCCTCCAGCAAAGTCGGCTGTGTAGAGGCATGTCAGCGTCGTCTCGGAGTGCTCGTAAATGCGCTCACCAAGCAAGTTGGCGGGGAAGTAAGGCTTGTCGCCCTTCCTGCCGAGCATCGGGAGGACGCCTGACAAGGCGAGGTAGTTGATATCGTGGCCAGCCATCTTAGCATACGGGCCTGTGAGAGAACACGTCAGGTCCTCTCCACTGGGCGCGCACGGCGAAAACGCACCTTCACGCCGGAAGCCAGTCAAGCGAGCGACAATTAGCCGCGGATTCTTCTCCAGCAGGTCCTTCGGGTCGAGCCCAAGCCTTTCGAGCACGCCCGGCCGGAATGGGTCGATCAAGATGTCTGCTCGCCAGTCCTCGGTGCTCGAAGGTGGAGCGAGAAGCGTGCGAAGGAGGGAGATACCTTGCGGCGATTTGAGCGAGACGGCAAGCGAGCGTTTTCCTCTGTGAGAGGTGGACGTCAGCTCAGGAGTCAGGGCCCCTAGTTCGTTTTGCGACGCACCGTGTGAGCGTGTCGACATTGAAGGACGTGCCCTGCCGGTCGACGCGAACAACGTCGGCGCCATAGTCGGCGAGGACGACTGCGGGACGTGTCGTCAGCCTCCTCGTCGCCCGTCAGGCCCTCCCCCGACTTACGACCTGCGAATGGCGCCGGAGCGAGGCCTGCAAGCTGCGGCCAAGTGGAACCGGGTTTAGCAAGTGGGGCAGGACGAGGAGGAGCGGAAGAAAGACGCACCTCGAGCACCCTGATGCCGGCAAGCGGTCGCAGTCCTTCAGCAGCCATGTCCAGCGAGTCTAGCGTGTGAAGCAGCAGCACGAAGCTGAAGCGACGGAGCCAGAGCGTGTGGTCCGGTCCGAAGAGGGAGGCGAAGGTTGGCCGGCGACCTCACCTGCGCTGTCCTCCGCCTGAGGCTGCTGGTGCTGCCTAGCTAGTGAAAGACCTCCTGACTGCCCAGCATGTCGACTCAAGCACCCGCACTCGGCGGCGCCAGCACTTCGACTGCTCCGCGACCAGCAAAACAGCCTCGAGCATCCGCCTGGGACCCGTACGCCGTCCTGCCGCCCAGTACCAAGCGCAAGGTGAGCAGGCAGTCCTACCACGGACTCATGTGCAGCAAGCGGCGCGGGCGAGCCTTGAGGTCGGAGAAATGATCCCGGACCAACTCCCTGAGCTGATGAAGCGATGAAGAGCTGACCTCGCTTTCGTACATGCTTGTTGCTGACAGCTGGACACTCGGGACGCTCTCTCGACACAAGGCTACCTCAAGGAGCTGTCCATCCCGACAGAAGTGGCCGACGAGCGCATTGCAGGCAAGCTCCTCCAGCTCGACCTGCCCGAAGGCAAGATGAGCGACCGGCGAAAGGCTGAACTGGCTGTGAGGGAAAGCGAGAAGGAGAAGAAGCGGGCGAAGAAGGCGAGGGAAGGAGATTGCGGTCTCGCAGGTCGGCGGAAACGGGCTGCGATGGGCAAAGCGGCGGTCAAGGCTGTCCGGTGCGTCCCGGTGTCTAACGGTCTACTCACTGCTCAAGTCTAACTCTTCCGTGTGCAGCTACGAATCCGTCCTGCCCGTATATCACCTTTGGCTCGGCTATATGGCAGAACTCCTTGCCCTCCCGGTCATCCTCTCTCCCGAACCGTCTCCCACCGCGTCTTATACACCTCCATCCGAAACACTCTCCACTCCCGCTGTATCCATCGCCAGCTCCACCCTCTTGCCGACGTATCCGCCGCGAGCTTCCCGCGACACCCAGATCAACGTCGTCAACCTGCAGACGAAGCTGATCAAGGCGGAGTTTGTCGGCTGCTTGTTGAGCGGTACGTCCCCTTAAGTCTTCGGTCGACCTAGTCGTACTGACCTCACACTCGCACAGTCAAGCGCGCCAAGAACCCTTCGCTAGTCGGCATAAAGGGCATTGTTTTGCAGGAGACGCAAGGGACGTTCAAGGTGGTTACGCCAAAGTCGCAAATCAAAGGCGCGTCTGCCACTTGTTCACTCGTAAGGCGGCGCTGACTTGGCTGCCTCCGCAGTCCTCCCGAAGCAAGGCACCGTCTTGACCCTCGTCCTCCCTTTCGCGCCGCAACCTTCCGAGACGCACCCTCGCGAGCTCAGCTTCGACCTGTACGGCGACGCGTTCGCGTACCGCCCGGCGGACAGGGTCGGCAAGAAGTGGAAGGCGGGGACGAGCGCGGGTGGGGTAGAGTTGAGATGAGTTGGCGGAGTGTGGCATGCTCTGCAGTGACGGCGCTGTCTATCTGATGCGGCTGCTGAGATGTCGCCTGAGGACGAGAGTCTGCGAGCGGGGCAAGGGCGAACTCGCCGCACGCAGAACGATTCATCTTTCAGCGGCCCCTTCAGAGATCCCTCCTGAGACTTTGAGTGGGATTGTCTTTCACCTGAACGCGAGAGAACACACCAGGAGGTCAGAGGGAGCTGCGATTGTACTGCGGGCGATCGAGAGTGCTGTCGTGACTGCCTGCTGGGTATATTTGCAAAGGTCAACCCGTCACCCCAAGCAAAGCCCGGTTAGCTCAGTCGGTAGAGCACCAGACTCTTAATCTGGTGGTCGTGGGTTCGAGCCCCACATTGGGCGACTTCGTTTTTTGCTGCCTCGTCTAACAGGCACACGGACTCAGCAGCTCCGCCTGCAAGCCTACCCTCTCCTTTTGGCCATTGCTCGTCACTTGTTTGCGTTCAAACGCCGCCTGACGAGCCACCCGCCCTCCTCGTCCGTCCGCAGCACTCTTCGAGACGGGTTCGCCGCTTTCCTCTCGCCCTCTCGCGCTTCGTCCAGCTTCTGCTGCTCCTGCCGACGGTCCAGCTGTCCCGATGCCTCCACTGCTCGATCGTTGGACGTCTCGGCCGGCTCTCGCGACGGTTCACCCATCGCATGCTCTCATCACGCAAGACGACCTCGCAACTTCGCAAGCCGCAGGCAGCGTCTCGCCTTGGTTGCGAGTGGGGCGCACAGACTGACAGAATGCGACTGCTGCCCTCCTTGACTTCCTGGACTACGCGCGACCGGCTGCCATGTCTCCCCCAGCTTCCTCCGCTACCGAGACTCTCTCGCACAAGCTGCACACGCTGTCACTCCGCTCAGAGCCGGCTGGCGAATCCGCGGAGACACAGGGGGGGAAGAAGGACTCGCGGCTGCGCTGGTGGAGCGAGACAGCGCAGGAGGGCGACGCCTACCCTTACGAGCGCTTCCTCCCTTTCTTCGATACCGAGCTTCGCCTTCCGCCCCTCGAGCCGTTCAAGCACATCGACCCCGGCCACAAAGCCTTGTGGGACCCGTCGCCGCGGTCTTTCCTCGCCAATGCCGAAGTCGACGACCTCACGCCGGACTTTGGATCCGAGGTCACCGGCGTCCAGCTTCACCAGCTCGACGATCGCGGCAGGCAGCAACTCGCGCTCTTTGTGGCGCAGCGCGGCGTCGTGGTGAGTGCCGTTCACTTCTCCCCACCTCGTGATCGTCAGCAGTTTGTGACCGCCGGTCTTAAAGACTTCGACTTGTCCGCTGATCTCCGCTCTCATTCGACAGGCTTTCCGCGACCAAGACTTTGCGGACCAGGATCCGACGTGGATGATCGAGGACTGGTGCAAGTTCTTCGGCCGCCCGCACATCCACCCTTGTTCCGGCGCGCCCAAGGGCTACCCCGAGTTCCACCTCGTCTAGTGCGCTTCTCTTCCACCTCCTCTCTGCGCAACGCCGAAAATCGAGCGCTCACATCTCGTAATGTCGCAGCCGCGATGGCAAGGCCGTCTACAACTACGAGACCGACACTCGCTTGACCTCGAGCGTTTGGCACAGCGATGGTGCGCCCCCTCCTCTACGCGTTCTTGAGCAGGAACTGACGCCGGGTCCGTACAGTCACGTACGAGGAGCAGCCGCCGGGTCTCACCCTCCTCTTCCTGTTCGACTCGCCTGCTGCGGGAGGAGATACGGGCTACGCAGACCAGAGGTGCCGTGGCCTTACATTCTTCGCCAACCGCGTCAAATATTTACGTTGATCTCGCAGGGGCGCCTACAACCACCTCTCCCCCAACTTCCGCGCCTACCTCGAGACACTTCAAGCGGTCCACTCGGGCGTCGAGCAAGCCGAGTACTCGAGGAAGGGCAACCGCGGCGGCATCGTCAAGCGCGAGCCCGTCGAGAACATCCACCCCATCGTGCGCGTGCACCCGGTCACGGGTGAAAAGGCGCTCTTCGTCAACCGCCAGTTCACCCGGCGTATCGTTGGCCTCAAGCAGGAAGAATCGGATGCTATCCTCAATCTCCTCTACCTGCACATCGAGCGCGGCGCCGACTTTCAGGTCAGGCTGCGGCACCGTCCGCGTACCGTCATTGCCTGGGATGTGCGATCACCTTTCCTTCGTCAATTTCCGTCCAGGGTAGCTGACAGAGTTCCCCTTGCAGAATCGCATCACGGCACACACAGCTATTGTCGACTTTGCGAAAGGAGGTGCGCGGCGTCACGGCGCTCGCATCACGCCGCAGGCTGAGCGACCGTACATCTGAGGAGAAACTGAGGAGGACGTCTTGTGAATACAACACTATCTATCTGTCCTCGTCTTCCTCGCTTCATTGTCCTTGCTTGGCGTCTCCAACGTATGCAGTCTCGCCTCGTTCATTGCTTGCCCGACTTCGACCGCCTCAGGGAAACTTCCACCTCGCCTCGCTCAGCACTTCCTTCGTCCGCTCCTTGTGCTTCTCGTCGACGAGCACATAGTCCGTGTTCCACGTCGACATCGCAAAGATGGGTATTTGCGCCTCCTTGAGCGGGGTCGTCAGGGCGTTGAGGATGCCGGAGAGGGAGAAGTCCATTGGCCCGGCGACTTGGAGGGCGACCCAGGGGCCGGAAGTCTCGAGAGCCGGAGGCTGAGAGGCAGATACCGAAGGCGAGGAGAACAGTGTCAGTCGCTTCAAACAACGAGGACTGAGGAGGAGAGACGCACCGGTGAAGGGTAGAGTCGCTCGAACAGAGGCGTCGGCAGGACGACGGACGTCTCAGCCGGTGTCCGAGTCAACGAGACGAAAGCCTGCTCCTCGCCCTGCCCCGCGAGAATCGCGACAAGCTCAGTCGGAATGGGTTCGGAAGGCGGGAGTTGGATGACGGAGAGCATCGTGGGGAGGAAGGACAGCGCCAATGCAGGGTTTGAAAGGTCCAGGGCTGTCATAATGTCCAAGGCGAAGGGACGAGAGCGTGAGAGATGAAAGGAACGAGCGAAGAGGAGGAGGCGAAGGAAAAGACGATGTCGTCGGCAAGCGGCGGCTGCGTCTATGTGCTCCGTTCACGCCTGCGAGGCTGTATAGAATACGCTCGTCGATGCAGAGATAAGAGAGCCCCGCTTACGAACCCATCGCACGCCTGTTCCGCTTCTCCCGGTACGCACTCCAGCTCAACCTGCTCGAGTGCTTGACGCTCCTTCCTCCGCCCAGCCTGCCCAGCTCATGCCACTCCATCGACGGACCGCTCGAATTGCGACTGTGGCCGAGACGCGCCGGTCTCGCGTCTTCGTCTGATTCCGAGGCGGAAGAATCGGGCGCGAGTTCGGCGGGTGCAACGTGCCAGCCTGGCGGGACCTCGTCGTCGAAGAGGGTGTCGTAGGTATGAGAGTGCGGGAGATGCGAGAAAGACCGCGAGGGAGGAAGAGGAGAGGGGCAGAAGCAACGGGAAGGATGGCGCCGACCTGCGAGAAGCGAGGTTAGCCTGCCTTTGACGAAGCGGGTATGCGTGGAGCGTCTCACCAAGCCGAATGCAATGACCGGCCCCTTCTTACCGCCCCTGCAGCTCTCGACCGCATCCCAGTTTGGTCGAGTATCGCTGCTATAGCTGGGGGACTGAGGGTCAGGCGGTAATTCGGAGGGTTCGAGCGAGGAGCCCCCTCACCAGACCCGCTGCACGAATCCATCGCGCAGCTTGAGTGAGGCGGCTTCGAAGTAAGCGGCCATGCCAGCATGAACGATCGCAAGGGCCTACAGGCTCGCTCGTTAGCGGCGCCTGGAACACGTATCAAGAGGCAGTTACCAGTAGGGCAAACCATGCTAGTCGAGTCCTCCTCAAGTCCTGCAGGTAGCCGATGGTGATGATGGACGTGCACAGCCAGCCGAAGGAGCATGCCGCGAGAAGAGAGAAGGCGACCCATTGGCCTTGGGTCGTTGCCATCCGCCATGCTGTAGGCAGAGCGTTAGCACGAGTCTTTATGTTGATAAGTAGAGAACGCGCAAAGGACCACGGCGCAGACGCCGGCGAGGGAAACGAGGCCAACCGCCGAGGAGGCGTACAGCAACCGAGTCGTGCGAGCGAGCGCGGCAGCTTGCGCCCGTCTGTCCGCCAGCGTCGCCATATCGTACACAGCAGCTTGAGAGAGGGAGAAAAGCAGAAGTCGACGGCGTGAGCGTCCGCGGATTGTCCGGAGGAGGACGAGGACCCGTCCTTGCTGGCACGAGGACATCTGCGCGAGGTACGGCAGCCTCGATGCTTCGTCAGGAAGCTCAGTTGTTGCTGCCGCTGCCTCCAGTCCATCGCCAGAGCTGTCGAGATCCGGTTGCTGATGAGGTTCGAGCGGGCTGTGCACGGTAAGCGCGAGCAGCGGGACAAGCATGGCAGTCTGACGGTGGCGTCTCATTAACGTTGCGCATCGCTGCTTGGCGCTCCGCGACGACAAGCTGAACAGGCGGAGGACAACCACGGAGGGGAGCGAGACGAAGGTCAACCTCGCGCAACATCGCTCGATCCGCCTGTATGCTTGATGGCAGCTGTGCAGCGACCTGGACCGCCCATACGAAGCTACACAGAGACCGTTCAAGACGACGTTGACGACGCTACCTCCTCCCTCCTCTTCTCCGCGCCGTCCACTCGACTCGAACCGCAACGACCGCTGGGGGAGGCGCAGGCTCTGTCGAGCAGCCCCACAGAGCACCGGGTGCGACGAAGAAGGAGCACGCTCGACTTGCGGCTGCCGCCAGCCATTGGAGGACACCCGGCGAAGGATGTGGGGAGGAGAGATGGAGGGGAACAGAGGGTTTCGGGCGTTTCAAGAGAGGGCAGAATGCAAGCTTGCGAATCTGAAGCGGCACCGGGACGCCCGGCTTTTCAGCTCCGACGCACAACGAGCGCGGAGCTCCTGGTGCGAGACGAAACAGCGGACGAAGAAGACGATGCGGAATTTTCCAGCGACGTGCGTGGTTGCCGAGCCTCCTGAGACTATGCGCCAGTACTGACTATTCCGAGAATCCGCAGGACGAGTCCTTTCGCTTCCGGCCGCCTTCAGTCGCCTCAACATCGACATCTCAACGGTCCTCGGTGCGTGAAGTCGACCCCAGTCGCTGTTGAACAACCTCGCTGACTTGCTCGTCTGCAGCGACGCGGTGTGCGGATACAAGACTGGACGGAGAGGCCCAGCGGCAGTTTCGTACGGGATGTGCGTCCTCTTCCCTTCCCTTTTGCTCTGGAGCTCACGTCCTTCTTGCTTCAACAGGTTCGAATAACGAGCTATCATGCCGTCGGATCCGAGAGCGGCGGCTTCGTCGTCTTTGACATCGAGATTGACACGCTTCCGGTCAACTCGACGAGCCAGGTCTGTCATCTGCCGCCCAGCCCGACCCGGACAGGTCTGACTGAGCGCCTTTTCTATCTTGCAGGGCACCACAATACGCATACATCACCGCTATTCCGCCTTTGCTCGCCTACGATCCGACCTTCTCTACGCCCATCCTCGCTTCCGCAACATCGTTCCTCGTCTCCCGCCGAAGTCTTCCCTCGGTGGATCACGTCGTTGCCTTTCAAGCTGTCTGCAGTCGCCTGACATCTCGCTCCGCAGCCAAGTACCGCCCGTCGTTCCTCGAGCGACGGAGACAGCGACTCGCCTTCTTCCTCGCGACCATCCTCCTTCACCCGATTCTCGGCGGCGATCCTATCGTGCGTCAATGGGTGCTGGAGTAACTTATCGACCCGTCCTGTTGTTGTAGTCACTGGCAAGCACTCCAAACATCTCGTTCCCCCTTTGCCGCTGCCGTCGCGTTCGAACGCGAGCGCGACTCGAAGCTGGCCACAGCGTTCCTCTCTCGCACGCTCTCCCGGCTTGACTGGTTGGCTTGTAGGGCTCTACTGAGGCTGCTACTGGTCCTACAAGAGTACACCGACCCTTGCGAACCGCTCTCGTCACCCGACCTCTCCTCGTCGCGTCCTCTCTCGTCCCGACTACAAGCGCTCCTCACGCCCGCCCGCCCGCCATGTCGTCCGCTAGGGCTGCGCGAGAACGCATGGAGGCACTCAGGAAGGCGCGCGAGTCCGGCAAGCGCGACTACCAGGTGCGCTCTCTTCTCCTCTCCTCTTGCTCCTCGTCGCGCTCGGCTGACCACCTCGACACGCTCTCGAGCAGCTCAAGGAGCAAGAAGCGGTGTATGACGAGGTCGAGGAGGACGTGTACCGATCAGTCGTGCGCGGACGGTTGATGGAGGACGACTTTATCGAGGAGGACGACGGCGTGAGCGGGTATGCGGACAACGGCATGGACGACTGGGACCGCAGCGCGAGCGAGCACGACGACGACGACGATGACGAGAAGGGTGCGCTCACTTTGTTCATCGGAGGCAATCTCAAGCTGACCTTGCCATTTCGTTACAGAACGACGGAAAGAGGAGAGGAAGGCTGCCAAGGAGAAGAAGGAGAAGCAGCTCAAGGCCGCTGCGAAGAAGCGAGCAAAGGCTCGTGTCGAGGTTGCGGAGGGCGCGAACCCTTACATCAACCCGAACCGGCAGAAGCAGGGTTTGCCGCTGAAGGAGCAGGAGGACGACTTCATGGCCAGTCTGCTCGGTGATCTCGAGGGTCAAGCTACGGTGACGAAGACGGAGTCGCCTCGTCCAGCCGCGGCACCCGTCCGACGAGCAAAGCCCTCGCTCGTCAAGACGGCCGTCTCGGGCTCGAAGCGACAGGCCGATCTCGACGCCAGCTCCTTCCGCTCAACCAACCACTTCGCCTCCTCCTCCGACGTTGCTTCCGACCCAGCATCTGACCCCTTCCTCGTCGGCGCACCGTCGAGCGACGGCTTCGACGGTGTCAAGAAGGCTCGTTTCGACCCCGCGATGGACGAAGTCGACAATGACCTCGGAGGGATGGACCAGCAATTCTTCGACGACTTCCCCGCCGTCGAACCTCTCGGAGAGTCGAGCAAGTCGAACGAGGAGGTCAAGATGGAGGAGGACGACGATGACTTGTTCGTCAAGCCGACTACCGCTGCGACCAAGCCCAAGGGTCCGGCGCAGCGACGACAACTTGTCAATGCCTCTGCCGTCAAGCCCGTCAAGCCGAAGGCTGAGCCGGTCGACAACGCCTCGCCGAGCCCGATGATGGAGGACATGAAGCCGAAGCGCAAGGGTGTCGACTGGCGCACCGCGACTTCCGCCCTCGCAGCAGCTTCTGCCCCGATCGTTGCGTCCGCCGAGGCGACAGACGACTCGAAGGCCTTCAATGAGGAGCACAAGACGGTCATCAGCTCGACGGCGATGCGCGCGCCGGCTCACCAGACGAACGCGCTCGAAGCAGACGGCTCGCTCCAGTTCTGGTGGTTCGACTACGACGAGCCTGCGCCCGGCACGGTCCGCCTCGTCGGCAAGGTTCGCGTCAAGAACGAGCAAACGAGGGTCGCGCAGATCAAGGACGGAAAGAAGGTCGAGAAGGACGTGCCCAAGTTTGTCAGCGCAACAGTCGTCGTCAAGAACATCAAGCGCAAGCTATACGTTCTTCCGAAGACCAAGGCCGAGTGTGCGTTCAGGCTTCTATTGAGTGGCTGCTCGCGCTGACGATCCACGCTCGCAGACTACGGTGGAGAGGTCGACGAGGACGACTCGGACGACGAGGACGACGAGCTGCCTTTCGACGACGTCGAAGGCGACTTCCTCGACGATGCGAAGGGCAAGTGGAACCTGCGGAACGTCTCGAGCACGCAGGGCTACGTCAAGCGGCGGTATGCTTTCGGCATCAAGGGTGTCCCGCGAAAGGAGACGAACTGGCTCGAGGTCACTTGCGACTTTCCTGGTGCGTCGCCTCCTTTTACACACAGTCTTCCGTACGCTGACCGTCCGTCTCATCGCAGCCGGCAAGCGAAACGAGTCCTACATTCCCATCGACGCTGCTGGCGAGCAGTACTCGCACGTCTTCGGCTCGACCGCCACCGCCTTTGAACGCTTCGTCGTCGACCACAAGATCATGGGTCCGTGCTGGCTCAACATCTCGAAGCCCAAGGTCAACAAGGGCGATGCGGTGCGTCAAGCTCTCCCCTCTCGCCGCTTCATCCGCTGATGCCCGTTCGCTTCCTCAGTTCTCGTGGACCAAGTTCGAGGCCGAAGTCGACGAGAAGGACATCTCGCCCTTCTCCAGCTCCGACGCGACCGCCCCAAAGGACGTCCCCCGACTCACGGTGCTCAGCTTGAGCAGCCGAACGGTCGTCCACCTCAAGGAGAACAAGCGCGAGATCGTCTGCGCTGCCGCTCGTGTCTGGCATGACGGTGCGCTCGAATCACGTCGAGTTCTGCGGCGTAGCCTACTCACGTCTCGCCTGCTCGCAGTCGATATCGACGACCCGACTCCCGTCGAGCACCAAGGCTCGTCGTCCAAAGTCTTTGTCCGCAATCTCTTCACCGATTTCCCGACCGGCTTCGACCAGCAAGTACGCCAGCACCAAGGATCGCCGACTTTCGCGCTCTTCAAGGCGGAGCGACCGCTCCTCATTCAGCTTCTCGGTGCGATTCTTCACTCTCGATCCTAAGCTTATCGACTGATCTAGTCTCCGCAGACTACATCTCCCGCAATGACCCGGACGTCATCGTTGGGCACGACTTCAGCCAGCTCGACCTCGACGTTCTCCTCAACCGGCTGCGCGAGCTAAAGATCGACAACTGGTCGCGCGTCGGTCGTTTCCGCGTCAAGGGCGACAAGTGGCCTCAGCTGCGGTCCGGGTGGAACACCGGCTTGCTTGCGGGTCGCTTGCTCCTCGACTTGACCAGCGACGGATCGAAGGTGTGTTCACTCTCCACCTACCTATCAAATCGCGTCTCATCCTTGTTTCCTTCCGCAGTCCCTCATCGACTCGACGACATGGTCGCTGACCGAGATGTGCGAGACGCACCTCGGCATCGCCCGCGAAGACATCGACCCTGAAGACACGGCCAAGTTCTTCGACAACGTCCACTCGACCGCCGCCCACCTCAAGCACTTCGTCCTGCAGTGCGAGGCCGACACGTACTTCCAGATGGCCGTCGCTGCGAAGGTCCAGGCGCTTCCGCTCACGCGCCAGTTGACCAACCTGGCCGGAAACTCCTGGTGCGCCTGAGTCGCGTCGCTGGCATAAGTCCACCGCTAACGAGTCGCCTGCAGGAACCGCACGCTCGCCGGAAACCGTGCCGAGCGGAACGAGTACATTCTGCTCCACCGCTTCTACGAGACCGGCTACATCGTGCCCGACAAGATCTCGTCGCGCGAGAAGAAGGCGCAGATCGACAAGGCGGAGAAGAAGAAAAAGAAGAAGACTCGGGACGATAACGGCGAGGAGGAGCCGAAGGTCGAGGTCAAGCGCGAGAAGTACAAGGGTGGTTTGGTCTTCGAGCCGGAGAAGGGCTTGTGGGACCGCTACGTCCTCGTCATGGACTACAATTCGCTCTACCCGAGTATCATCCAGGAGTTCGATATCGACTTCTCGACGATCGACTGGACCGCCGACGACGTGCGTTCCCCTTGGTTCCGAAGGCGAGCGGCGTGACTGACTTCTCCTCTCGTAGGCCGAGGACCTCGACAAGATGCCCGACCGCGCACCTTGCGATGGCGAGCCTCAAGGCATCCTTCCGCAGCTTATTGCTTCGCTCGTCGCGCGTCGTCGAATCGTCAAAGGTCTCATGAAGGACAAGTCGGCCACCGTCGCCAAGCTGATGCAGGTGCGACCGCATTGCTTCTCTCTTCGTGACCAAGCCTTACCCTCTCCATCTCGCAGTACGACATTACCCAGAAGGCGCTCAAGCTTACCGCCAACTCGATGTACGGCTGTCTCGGTTAAGAAGGCTCTCGCTTCTACGCCCGCCCTCTCGCCGCGCTCACCACGTTCAAGGGTCGCGAGATCTTGACGCGGACAAAGGCCGATGCCGAGGGCATGTCGCTCAACGTGCGTCTCGCTCGCCTTCTCAGCTTCATCTCCTTGCTAACCTTTGCTCTCGACAGGTCATCTACGGAGACACCGACTCGGTCATGATCAACACGAATCAGACGGACTACGCCGCCGCACTCAAGATTGGCGAAGACTTCAAGAAAGTCATCAACGACAAGTACAAGAAGCTCGAGATTGACCGTGACGCCGTCTTCGAGCGCATGCTCCTCCTCAACAAGAAGAAGTATGCCGCTCGCAAGGTCGAAGACGACGGCAAGGGCGGACCGGGCGAGGTCACGACCGAGATCAAGGGTCTCGACATGAAGCGTCGCGAGTTCTCGAAGCTCTCGAAGGATGCCTCCAAGTGCGTCGGCTCACCGCGTTCTGCCCGACTCGTGCTAATCTCTCGCCCGCAGAGACGTGCTCGACATGATCCTCTCGGCCAAGGCGACGGAGACCGTCATCGAGGAGATTCACGAGTACCTCGCCGACCTCGGCGAGAAGATCCGTAACGGCTTCAAGCCTCTCGATGACTACATCATCCACAAAGTGCGTGTCCGCGCACCGCCCTCTCGCTATCGAGACTGACTTACACCAATTGCTCTCCCAGCGTCTCGGCAAGAACCCGGAGGACTACCCCGACGCCAAGTCGCTCCCGCACGTCCAGGTCGCGTTGAAGATGAAGGCGAAAGGTCTTTCCGCCAAGGCCGGCGACGTCATCCCCTACATCTTCTGCGTACCGCCCAACGGCGAGACGACGAAGACTGCGCAGGCTGCCAACGCTCATCACCCGGACGACGTGCGGCGACAAGGCTCCACGCTCAAAATTGGTATGTTTACGTCTCTCTCGTCCTGCTGCGTTACAGGCTGACGGTGAACCCACAGACTTCGAGGTCTACCTGTCGACGCAAGTCCTCCCTCCTATCGAGCGTCTCTGTGAGCATATCGAAGGAACCGAGAAGGCTCGTCTCGCCGAATGCCTCGGTGAGTCGCGTTCGTGCAGTCTCACGCGTCCCTGCTGTTGACACACACGTCCACAGGTCTCGACGCTATGCGCTTCAAGTCGACCTCGCTCGATGTGCCCGAACGCGAGTTCAAGACGCTCCAGTCGCAGATCTCGGATGCCCAGCGCTTCGCCGATGCCGAACCGTTCCGCATCCGGTGTCGAACCTGCGGCACGATTAACCCGTTCGACGGCATCCTCGAGAACAAGGTGTGTCCCGTCCTCCTTCCTCGCTCTTGCTCAAGCCACTGACTGCGCTTGCCCTCCAGGCCGGCATGCTCTCCGATCATGGCTTCTTCTGCGGCAACATCGAGTGCCAGGCGTCGCTTCCAACACCGTCGCTCGCCGTCCAGCTCGACCTCCAGCTCCGCGGCTTCATCAGCAGGTTCTACGAAGCCTGGCTTGTCTGCGACGAACCCACGTGCGGCAACAGGACGCGCATGATGTCCGTCTACGGCAAGAAGTGTCTCGTCTCGGGCTGTCGCGGCGCTATGCACTTCGAGGTGAGTCGTTTCCTCAGCGAATGAGTCGAGCTGGTCTGACCGGTCCTTTCGCAGTACTCGGACGCCAAGCTGTATGATCAGCTTCTCTACATCGACACCTTGTTCGACATCGAGCGCGCGCTCAACAAGGTCGCAGGCGGAGCTCAGCAAGGTTTGTATCACTCCGTCCTTCACATTCCGCTTCCCTCGCTCACCTTCTCGCACTCCGCAGGTCCCGTCCAAACTCGCATCGAAGCGAACCGCCACGTCCTCGAGCAGCTCCGCAAAGTCGTCACCAAGCACCTCGAGAAGAATGGCCGACGCTGGGTCTCGATGGAGTCGCTCTTCTCGTTCATGAAGGTCCCGTAGCGTTCTCTTTCTCTCTTGTCGTCTCCAATGTCGTGTGCCCTTAAGTCCTCTTACGCCTTACGCCGTTGGTTGTAGATCAGCTTCTTCCCCTGCCTATAAACGATGCATTCGAGTTTGCGCAGCACGAACGACCAGGCGAGTTTGCTTTCGATCCTGCTCGCTCAGCACGGGATCGATTGGAGACGCTCGCGCGGCTCACGAACGCCGGACCAGCACGAAAGCGAGGGCAAGCGATGATGCTTTGCAAAGCGAAGTAGACGCAAAAAGGTGCTAATGTAAACAACACAGGCGAGCGGGAAAGACGAAGGGGAGGGCGAGGCGTGGAAGCGAAGCGTCTACTGGCTGCAGGACGAGGAAAGAGCGAGTCAGCGAGAGCACGAGCAAGAGAGGAAGGACGAGGGGAACGCACCCGAAACCGTAGAGGGTCTTGCCGGCGCGCTTGAGGGCGTAGACGACGTCGAGCGAGGTGACCGTCTTGCGCTTGGCGTGCTCGGTGTACGTGACCGAGTCGCGGATGATGTTCTCGAGGAAGATCTTGAGGACGCCGCGAGTCTCCTCGTAGATGAGGCCCGAGATGCGCTTGACACCGCCGCGGCGAGCGAGACGGCGGATGGCGGGCTTGGTGATGCCCTGGATGTTGTCGCGCAGCTGCACGAGTGCGAGGGAGAGGGTCAGCTGTCGAGTTCCAAAGTCGCGAGTCGGGTCGAGGAGGAGAGGAGGAACGCACAATCTTGCGGTGACGCTTGGCGCCGCCCTTTCCGAGACCCTTGCCACCCTTTCCACGGCCAGACACTGCGTGCGAGAGCGAGCGAGCAGTCAGTCCTTGAGTCCGTGTGAGCGAGGGAGTGCGGTCGAGGGTGAGCGGGTTGGGTGACTCGGTGCGAGTGCGCGGTGGCTGAGAGCGTGTGTGCAGACGTGGGACTCACTGTTCGAGTAGGGAGAGTGAGTTGGAGTGTGGTGTGGTGATTGCTGAGTGCGAGAGACTTCGAGGTAGAAGTCGAGCGAGTCGAGAGATATGAAGGAGGTCAAGAGTTAACGCGCGGTGCAGTACGACTCTTGTTGGCAAATCCGCTGTTTGGCTCGACCTAGGCTCGTGCAAGAGGACACGTCACTCTGGGCGCGCGTCGGGGAAAAGGGTAAGCGCGAGTTGTAATCGCGGAATTACAAAGGGTTACAACTCGAATACAACGAGTCCTCGCTTCGTCCGCGCGGGTGTTGCTCAGCTTGCTCTGTCTGGCGGTTGCAAGGCAGTACAGCAGTATATCCCGCCATTCGTGCATCGACAGCGTCTCTGCGCGCCTCCTTCTCTTCCGACCGTCGTCCCCTGTTGCACGAGCCTAGGTGTTTGTCGCTCCTCTTCTCCCTTCCTTCCCTCTTCCTTCTCTCTCTCCCTCTTTTCCCCCCCTCCCCTCTCTTTTCCCGAAGTTCCGCTCGTAGCTCTACACCGCACCAACTCGCACTCTACCACACACAATGGCCCGCACCAAGGTCCGTCCCTCTCGCTGTCGCTCAACTCGTCGCGTTTGACGCGTTCGCTGACCTCGTCTCGCTCGCCCTTCACAGCAAACCGCCCGCAAGTCAACCGGAGGAAAGGCGCCGCGCAAGCAGCTCGCCGCCAAGGCCGCCCGCAAGTCGGCGCCCGCGGCTGGTGGTGTCAAGAAGCCTCACCGCGTGCGTTCTCCCGTCTCTTCCGTCACTTGCGACTTCATATGACCCTGTACTGACATGCAACGACTCGTC